GTTTAGCACTTATCACTCGCGATAAATTTTTCTCGCCGCACAAAAAAAGCAGTAAACGATCATGCAACAGACGGAATTAAAGTATCACGTAACTAGCATTTTTCGAGTTGATTTCCACGTTCATTGCAGATTAGATTCACGATTTTATCACCAAATTTAATGAGTCATCGTCATTATATCCAGCTTTAAATTCTTTGCACAAAATTATTATTTACGATGTTACTGAAAACTTAAGTACACACTATTTTTACAACTTGTAGATATTATATCGATCGGGGTATTTAATCTTTCACACAAAACACAAGTAAAAAATGTAAAAATAGTGAAACGTTAAATATGTATATAAGAATTCCCTATTTTCACTGATTGTTATTGACTATTATCTGAATATTTCACGCGTATCTAAAAATATTTGTACAGATTCTTCTAACATAAATAATTATCTAATTTTTTCTGAGAATATTAAAACAAATATATTCTCACGATAGGTATGTTAAATTCAAAATTCGATATTTCTGGAAAGACGTTCATGTTTATATCGAGTCAGACTTTTCGCAAACATCTCAATTCAAAATACACAAGTTCAATGCGCATTCATCGACGTGAATACTTATTATTATTCGCACATATAGGAATCGACAGTCATATTTTTACGATCTTGCGAATTTAAAAATGTGATCCCTTTAACATTTTTACAGACAAATCAAAGCGGAACAAATACTGACGGAAAAGAACGATATATAGTCACCAATCACATTTTCGCGATCCCATGAATTTTAGAATTCGTCGTTCTCTACATTTTCTGTGCTTATTACATCCGCTGTTATCTAAACTATGCATACACGTCGCACGTTAAAGCACACGAGTGTTTGTACTTTTCGTGGAAAAAAAAAGGATAGTAAAATCAACGATAGCATCTCTGCGATTCGACGAATTTAAAAAATTCTGTTATCCCGGTAATTGCATTCATCGTTATATAAACTTTTACGTGCAGCGTAGGTGAAATATATGAATTTAATGCTGGAATCAGTGATGCACACGACATTTGTAGTCCACGCACAAAAATATGACGGAATTGATGATAGCGTTTCCATGATCCCGATTTAAAGCTTTGCACGTTTTTCAATATTTTCTGTCGATTCCGACCAACATTATTTAAAGTCATTCCACTTGTAATTTCTACGCGTATTCGAAACATAGCACGGGTCGGTCAATGCATATTTATAACTCGCGTATGCAAGATATGATAAAACTGACAGTTCCATATCATTTTCATTCAACGTTTTCCGCAACCAGGCAACTAAGAAAATTCAATTTTTCCACATTTCCGGATGGTTATGTCTGTCGCACTAGCCAGAGGCAAATTGACGCACGTATTTAATGTGGACAGACATGATAAAATTATTATTAGTTTTTATCGCGCGCGCACTGCTCAAAAAATTAATAAATATTCACGTTTTTAAAAATTTTTTAGTGCAATTTACAAAATGTCAGTCCTTTTTGCGCTGTCCAAATAATTCGAAAGTAGTCGCGTTTTGAAGATTTTTCAAGCAATTTATACGTCACATCGGCCATCCAAAAAATGATAAAATCGATTCTTTATCGATCCTTTTCGCACTGCCTAAAGAATTGGAGAGTAGTCGCGTTTTTTAAGATTTTTCAAACAATTAATATGTCACATCTGTCGTTACCTAGAAAATTATGAAATTATCGGCTCTTAAAAAATGTTAAAATTGTCAGTCCTTTTCATAGTGTTCAAAGAATTCAAAAGTGCTCACGTTTTTTAATTTTCAAGGGATCTCTCTACACGTCACACCTATCGTTATGTAAAAAATGATAAAATTTTTAGTCTTTTTCACATGCTCGGGAATTTAAAAGTACTCGCGTTTTTTTTAATTTGCTAAACGATTTCACGTCACACCTGTCGTTATTAAAATATATTGAAATTATCGATTCTTTTTGAAATTCTTTTTTGTTTAAAGAATTTAAAAGAACACGTATTTTTAAGATTTTAAATGTCATATCAGTCGTGTTATCTAGAAAATAAAATTATCGATCCTTTCCGTATTGTCCAAAGAATTCTGAAAAGTACACGTGTTTTTAATCCTGCACCAGTCAAGTTGTGGATTTTGAAAGCACAGTTGATATTTTGATTGTAAATTTCAAGATTGTACGTTTACTCGTAAATAATTCGCATCTACTCGTATACAATGTAAACTATATTTTACGTGTTACTTCCGAAAACAAAATGTGAATCATCAAAGTCTTGTGTTATTTCGTTGTACTGAACTAAAGCTTCTTATATATTGTCATTTATTAATACCAAAACCAGACATATTAACAATCATAGAATTTATTTCGTTCTGTGTATTATATTTTCCAATTTATAATTTACATATTTTACATTGTCTATATAAAATAAATTTTGTAAGCTTAATAACATAAAAATTCTATATAAACGTAATCTTGAAATATGGCATGACAACTCTTATAAATTCTAGCAGATAAATTTATTTAAATCTGTCAATCAAAAGTAAGTAAAATGTAATCCGGATTTTATAATAGCAAAAACTCGTTGTTAAAACTTTCGTAAGTATGCAAGAATTTTTTTTCAGAATTTTACACAATCCAGAACAACATAAAAATTTGTACTGAAGCTCTCAAAGATTCAGATTGCCGTTAAAAGGTGCAAAATTCCACAAGTCCGACTGAGAGTTAAGATTTTTCGATCAATCCACACGTCACATCTGTCGTTATTGAAAAAAACCGTCAAACTGTCGATCCTTTTCCGCATTGCCCAAAGAATTCGAAGGTGTGCGCATTTTAAGGATTTTCCAAATGATCTACACACGTCACATCGTTATTCAAACCTTCGCGTATCGCGCTTCAAACGTACGAGCACACTTTTTTTTGTCGCACAAAAAGACGCGTAAAATCAACTATCGTATTTTCGCGATTTCTGTCGAATTTGCTCTTTTGCCGTAAATTCACATGCGGCGCACGACTGATCCGAAGCGGTTGGTCATTTGTTTTTCTGTTCTTCCGTTTAACCCGCTCCGAGAGAACGTCGAACTCTGATACGCGAAATCCGAAATTATAGTTCACCGTGTTCGCGTTCCAACGTTCCGAGTTAAACGCGAATGAAAATTCGAAAATGAGATTTTCAAGGTCGAAGGAGAACAAAGTAAAAATGTTAAACGCGCCGTTTGGAGAAATTTGATTCCCTTTATGGTGCGTGGAACGTGCGTTTAAAATCCTCCATATTTCCATCGCATATTAGATAATTAAATCGCGCACACGCGTTTGTTATTGCGAGTTTCCACCACACACAATTTTCATCGATAGCCGACACACGAAATTCGACATTCGCGTACGTACGTAAATAACGATAATTTCTCCGTTCATGTCGCGCTTATAGGACGTTACACTAATAAAGACACGAGACAGACACGTCAACAAATAATGGTTGCAAAAACCAGGCGTCGAGCTGACGCGGCTCGCAACAAATATGAATCCTTGATTTTCCATCGATACGATTCTCCGTCACATTTTTGACATTTAAATTCCGTTTTCGGGAAACACATGCCGAGTTCACTGCGAAGTAACTTCCACCGGCAAGAGATATCTCTCACTTTCCACACGCGAAATTGAAGCACTAAAAAAAAAATAAAAAAAGATCGGACGGCTGTACGCTTCCGCGATCGAGCGAGCAGCGTCCGAGATCGGAGTGTCGTTCGCTCCGAAACGAACGCAACGCACCGCACCGGCGAGTTCACCGTTAACGGGCCAATTTCCGACCGACGTACTCCGATGTCGGACAGCGCTTTCGCATTTTCCACTTTCACGTCACAGAGATTCACAGGACACGGGAGAAAATATCTCGTGTGTGCGTAAGCACGCACGGTTCGCCACATTCCGTTCCCGTCGCTCCGAGTTGGAGAGCTCGATTTCAAATCTCGATCGGACATGAATCGATGCCGACGGTGCGCGCTCCGATTACCTGCAGCGTCACCGTGAATCGGAAAAACATCCGTCGTTTTCGAATATTGGAAAAAGTTGGGGAAAAAAGGGCGATCGCGGAGAAGAGTACAGGCGCCGAGAGTCGAGATTGTCGGAAAAGCCGTTTTATACGGTACTTACGAGACAGAGGATGCGGAGATCGGTGGGACCGTAGCACATCGCACAGAAAGCAGAGAAAACGAAAACCAAAACTAAGAATTGCGTCTCACTGTCACACCGTCACACCGAAAAAACACACTGCTCGAAGTCCGAGCCTCGTTACATTCCAATCTCGGTACTTCCGGAAATTTGAGAACTACACGTCCGTCGGGACGATCCAGGCGGCGCGGAATGTTGATCGAACGATCTCGGGCCGAGGCACGTTCTGCCGACGGCCGCGATCTTCGGTTGCGTTACGCTTCCTCGGAGTTTTCCACCGTCCGGCTATCCGGATCTCCAAAGGACCTCCTCGAGAACGGATCCTGGGGACGAGTTAGATTCCAGAGCGATCACAGGTACGCGTCGATTCGCGGGATCGTGCGATCGAGACCTCGCGGTACGGCAAAAAGACGCTTTTCGTATCACTGCGCGTATGCACTTGAAGTCGCGCTTCACTGTGTCGCACAGTAGTTACGAATCTCCATGATGGAAAATTGCGGCGATATGGACGGTGGCGAGTCGACACCGACAACGACAACGACGATAGTGAAGGATAACGAGGACGCGAGTGACACCCGTCGCGGCGCGGCTACGAGGGGAACGGTAACGCGCGGCGAGACATTCCCTTCGGCGGCGACGGAGCAACTGAGCGAGCGCAGGGGACAAGAGAGCGTCTCTCCCCACCACCCTTACCGAGCGACTACGGCGGCGGCGACGGTGACTCTCCCCTCTCCGCCGCCGCTCGGCCGCACTCGGCTCTTTTCGACTCTCCACGAAGCCAGCCGCGCCGAGCCCTGCCTGCGCGACCGCGCTCCCCCTCACTTCTCGCGCTGAACGCCGAACTTGAAGTCGGTTAAAGATGTTTCTCTCTTCGCGGTACTACGCGTCTCCTTCTAGCGGTCGTGTAAACGTAGCGTTACGTTGGAATTTCGTCGCGCCCGACTCTCCGAATGTCGTATCACAGCTCGCGATCGTGATTATTCTTGCGCGACCGAGTTCGTATCGCAGTTGACGAGTCTTCGCTACAACATATACGCATTACATGATCGAAATTATTTGACGATCCGACATTTTGAACGAGAAGGAAACTCTCTGCTTGTACGTATTCTTATATTTGATGATTGGGCAATTCTCACAACTACAATAAGCTTTACTGCTTGAGCTTTTGTGTGCCATTGGAGTCTTAATTATACGATATTAATCAGGAGCCAAAATGGCGTCAATGCGTAGCGTGGATGGTTATATTGAAATTTAAAAGATAGCTGTTTGGTAATTGTGTGCGACGAAGTTAGAAATCGCACGATACCGCAAAGTTTCGAATATCGTTCCCGACGGACCGGCTGAATGCATAGTTCATCGATATCTCACTCCGAGAGAGTAATAGTCGCGATTCGCATTCGCATGATCCGTTATCACGTGCATGATTTACAACGTTTGAATTCGTGACTTCGCGTTCGATTCGTATCAAACAGACGCTTTCGCCCAAGTACAGTATATTCGCTTTCTTCAACTGACGATCTTAAGATGATGTAAGTATTTTTACCATCCATTAATTCCTGGTATTAGCATATATCGAGCGTTCAGTTTTTAATTTTATTCATTGTTTGTTTTTTTTGGCAGTGAGAAGGTCGCCTCACTACAGGATACGGAGAATAATAAGGATCGTCAGAGCCGACTTTGTCTTCTGTTCTGCATTCTTTCCGTGTTACGTAATCAATCTGTAGGTAAGTGCCGTATTAATTATTGCTATTAATTAAAAATACAAGATATAGATAACGGAGAATGATGTATGTGAGAATAAAATCATATTAAGATCCTACGGATAAAAATAAATTTGATGATAATATCATGCGATATTATATTTATTGTTATAAGAAAGTTTCGAAAGACATGATATACATAAAATACACTTTTATCATTTTATATTTTTAAATTTTTTTGTATAATTCTTTCTTTAATTTATCCGAATATTTTATATTCTTGTGTTTTTAAATATCTTTTCTCTTATCGTATATTTGCTATTTATTCGCAAAATATGTAAAATTAATATTGTATGAAATTTAATTATATTCACGTGTTAAAATTTATAAAGATACGGACGAAAAATGGAAGAGTTTATGATAACAATAATAATATGAAATCTTATAAATCAATTTACGGGACAGAAATTTCTTTTATGAAATATTGTTTAACCAATATATAGAATATGTGCTTGTTTAACTGGCTTACTTATTATTTATTGCTATTGCTTTCCAATTTCAATATTATTTACAAGTATAAAACAATAGCATCATAGAATATTTTATCAATCATATAAGTGAGAAATAAAGTATTGTTTTCATTGAAAAAATATTTACTTCTCATACAGACACATTTTATTTGACAAAATAATAGTTATACATTCATAAGTTTTATTGTTCCCAACATTACTTCTGAAATTATTAATATATTCGCTTTTAAAAAAATATCGAAATCATCTACAATAAACGGAATGAAAGGACGAATTTATTCAACGATGCTTGATTGTTATTGTCATGTTTTAGCAAATGGGTATGTCCATTAGTCAACTTAAAATTAACTGATAAAAATGTACCAAGTTTTTTTCATAAAATTAGTATTTATTCTCTATATTTTAAAAACCATTTAAATGGAAATCAATTTTCCTTTTACGAAAATTTAATTAGGGCATCTCTTCTCTTATTTTTCTCATGTTTTACATTAAATGTTTTTAAAACAAATAATTTGAATTGTCAAATATATATGTGTATATATATAAAATATATGTGTGTGTGTGTGTGTGTGTGTGTGTGTGTGTGTGTAAAATTTTATTTCATCATTAGCTAGAAAACCTAACTAAAAACTTCCAATCCCGATTGTTTAATTAAAAAAATTCAGTATTCTGATATTCTTAACGAAAATCTGATTTTTAAAAAGTGTGAATTGTGCAAACAATTTTAAGTGAGTTTTAAAGTGTATCAATATTAAGAATTTAATGTTTCTTTAGCGATGATCGCATGTTTCCGGTGATGAGCAATACCGGGCGAGATATGATTTCTGCTAATTTACACTTCCGTAATGAATAGCGATGGAAGGCGTTTCCGTGCCTCTTCATCCGTCCGTTCGCTGCCATATCAGGAAAATCGTTTAAACCGGCGCGTCCGCCTTCGCGTTTACAATAAATTACCGCGCGAGGTGCAAGTGGCAGACGGGAAATTATCCACGACGAAGGAAAACAATCCAAGGGAGAGGTCGCAAACTCCCTCGCATTTAAACGCACGTCTGTCTCGAAAACTGTAGAAAACATCGGGAAGTTTCTGTTGACGTGGACTATGCTCCACCTTCGCTTTTCTCACCTTCACTTATCTAGCCTTTTGAATGAATTAACGAAAGTTAATTCTATCTTTGCTCTTTTGATAAAATACAAAGTAATAATTTCACTGTTACATAACAAACGGAGTTATAAAAAAAATTAAAATACATTTAAAAAAAAGACAAATATGAAAATGAAATTGTCATTAATTTATACATTAAGATCAATTTATATTTGATTTCATTTATTCAGTATCTTATTATCGAAATGTAAACTTTATTATACACATAGTTCTAGTATCATCTATTTAAAATTTGTCTTCTTATTCTCAATTATTACTCGTTTGAACCATATTGATATTCACATTTTTAGTCAGAGAAACAACCTGTAGTTTGATAAATTGGCGTCTGTTATCAAAGTTAAGAAAGAAGGAATGTACTGCATGAAAAAAGAATATTTTTTTTAGTGCTATACGTGTTTTATCGAAATCGACATGATTTTATTAGACATATAATTATCGATAGTTTATATTGTGCTGTATTGTTTGGAAAGGAAATGGTATTGAACCGCGAATTCCCGTTCTATTGCAAACCTGATACGGCGCATGAATATACGCGTGTAACATGCACGTTAATAACTTTATGATCGTATTATACGCTTCACATTACGAGACAAACGTATCGCGGCGAAACAATGACGCAGTGCCTAATAATTACTTCACGTCCTTATAACTGTCGAATTTTTAAACAATGCAGCAAATCTTAACAACATAGTTAATTCTATTATTGTTCTCTAATATAATTTTGTGCACGGATACGTAATAAAAGGTAATAAGAGGTTTACATATTTAATATCGAGCAATTTTAAAATTTAATCTAATGGAGATGTTATATTTTAGCGTAAAAAAATTGGTTTGAATAAAATTTTATAACTCTAATTACACACACATATGTATATACATATATGTATGTATATATTATATATGCGTTAAGAAGATAAGATTTGTGAAACTCAGTAATGTTTAATTTCTTTTTATATTATTCTTTATACTTTCAATAGTTAAATTATAGGCTTAATTTTTTTTAAATATTCTTTATACTTTCAATAGTTAAATTATATATTATAAGTTTATTTTTGTGTTGCGTTTAGCTACAGGATTTCGAACATTCGCGATTCGCATGTCCACATGTGGTAATATAAGGAGGGGAGACATGTCCACATATGGTAATATAAGGAGGGGAGACATGTCCATATATGGTAATATAAGGTGGGGGGACGCGAATGGAAAATTCCCGAACTCGGGAGCTGATGGGTTTTTCCGTGATCGGCGATTGGCCCTTCGCGGCTCGTGATCGCACGTTATTGGTCGTCGTCCTGCGCTCTCCCGCGAAGGAGGCGCGGACCCCGCGATCGCGAGGGGGAGCGAAGCAGTTCTTGGAAATCGATCGCGATCGAACACGTGTCTCGGCAATAAAAAAAACTCGGCAATTCTTGATAGTCCACTTTCGCAACACATGTTGAGTTGTACACTGAGGGTAAGCTAAAAATAGCTTAATTTTGAATAAATATTTATTTGAATACTACCAACTAAACATTTACTTACAATAAATAAATATTTATTTGATAAAAAGAAGCGATTGTTAAATCAAATTATAATGTTTCTTATAATGTATCAAATAAATATATTTTTGTATTTAATTGGCACTATTCATTTAAATATTGAATATTTATTGAAATTTATGATATATTTTATAAATAAAATAACATAATAGTCCGTAATATATTATATATTCCATCTTTTTCTAGATGCTATCCTTATATTCTCTTTGTTCTATCCAAATTAAATTTCTCACCATTGTTTTTCTATTATTTTTGTCTTTGAAAAATGTCGTTAGTCTAGTTATACTCAATATCGGTAACTTTCATTTTCACGTCATAGAATTCACAGAATTGCAATTTTCGAAACATAGAAACATTGACGTATATAAATATCGACATACAAACTATACAGATGTTGTATGACACAAACTCTGCGTTTGCATACATTGAATCTACCAAAAGTTAAATTGCATTGATGACCGTATCGAGTGGTTTACGATTACCGTCATTCGCATTCACAGTCTTTGAAATCGCGCGAGGCAAGAGAAACTCGTAAAGTTCCATGCAGAACCACAGACAGGTATGACATGTATATCACTGCCACCCCCGAAATTCATTTGACGGTATCTCCCGGTGAAAATCAACCGCGAACAAAAGAGCATCCCCTATGCGACAACATCGCATAAACAACGCGGATCGCGCGATCTAGATCGCGGAAGGAGGGCGGGTTGCCCCTCTCCTTTCTCTCGTCGTTGAGGTGTTCGAGAGTGAGTTTACAAAAGAGATGCGCAGCAGTTGCTCCACTCCCTCCCTTCTTCGTCCCCGCTCTAATCCCAAAAGTCTATAAATACTGGAAGGGAGTTTATTCTCCAAAGGGTCGTTTGCAGGATCGCAGTTGTACCTCGTGACACGGCACCGCGATGACGCTTTTAATCCAACGGCGGCGGCTCGAAACGTCGTGCAGAATTTGTGGTGTCGTTTCACACGGCCGATAACGCTTCGATAACCACAGCAGTCAGATCTTGCGAGATGAATCACGGGAAACTCGAATCCTTTAGGAATTCAGATTCTACACCGGTTAACTTCAAATGCAAAGTGAATAGACAGAGATAAATTATTTTTAGAAAAAAATTCCGAGAACGGGAAGTATTGTAAAGATGCAGAAAAATGATCCGAGCGAAAACGTTAAAGAACGATGGGTAAAATAAGCTGATACTTTATTTCAGAATGACAAATAAAAGCGGTATGTTTCTTTTTTATAGTTTGTGAGAGACTGAATTTGATTTTGAGAAATTTAATTTAATTTGTTAGGAAAGCATTACAATGTTTTCAAGATCAGAATTAGATTTAGCAACTCTACGAAAAAAAAAATTATATCGCTTTTATTTGCCACTCTGGGGGAGAAAAATTATCGGCTCATTTTACCCATCGTCTTTTATGTATACGATTATGATTTTATATTTCTTTCATTAAAATTATCTTTTTTTAATATATTATATATGCAGCGAATAATATATCTATTCTCTACATTCTTTGAAATGAAATTCCCTTCAGAGTAAGATTTATTCTAAAAGTTTAGTAAAAGAAAATTTCATATATTTATTATAAATATAAGTTAGAAAACTGAATATGTTTCTTGAAAATAAAAACAGAGGCACCATGAGTTTTACAAAAACATAATGTTCACATAACATACACTGTACATTATATCGGCATTTTTCGAAATTATTTCATGAAATATATCAAGTCAGTCTCTCTCTCTCTCTCTCTCACACACGCACACGCTCACACTCGCCTACATGCCATGTTATTAGAATATAAATTCTCAAGATATATCCTTCATTGTTGTCTAATTAACCGAACAACCAAATAGTTGTTACGGCTCTACCCTCGATGTTCGTATGCCTATTTTATCCTGTTTCTATCTCGGTGTAAACGATTCGTGCCGGCGATTTCGGACAACACTAGGCCCAGTGGCAAACGTCAACAGTCGAGGATGCAACGTAAACTGGACAGAATCGCTCGTGGCATGTTCCCCAGCGCGCTTTACAGTTCACGAAACCATGACAATTGTCGGCGCGTTACAGTCAGTTCCGCAGCATTAGGGCAGCTGGTCCAGTCGAGATTCCGAGTATACTCGAAAAGGGACGAAAGAAAGGGAGAGAAAGAGCCAGCGGAGGCGTAGGGGAACCGTAGGTGGCCTATTGTTGAACCGGAATCCGCATTCTCCTTTAACCCTCCGTACCGCCATTGACTGTCTTTCGGTTCATGCCGACGATGAGAAAACGAGTAGAAACTCACTCTCCGACGCAGTAATGGAGCGATCGAGAATACTTTCCCTGAAATCGTTGGCTACTTCCACCCCGACTGTATTTATTAACCTACTGTATTCGATTGACATCTACGAGGCAACATAGGGCGAGGGAACTTACATGGTTGCATTGTTACATGAAGAAACTGATGAGATCCTATTAATCTTACCGTCACAGAATTGTTCAGTAGATTGATGACTTTAATTTTATATTTTAAACCGATACTTTAGGAATAATACATTTTAATTCTTAAATGATGTAAAAATTCTTATTTAATCTTTTCTATTTTTTACATAATTACAGTAATTATAATAAATTATGAATATATTTCTAATATAAAGCTTTATTTATATAAATATTTAATTTTTTTTTTACGTATACATATATTGTAATTCTCATTATATGTGACGCAAGATTAATCCTATACAGACAAACATCGGGAGATTGGGACTTCATAGGAAGTAGGATGTTTACTTAGCATACGACTCTTATCTACCGCGAGCATTAACCTTCTCACTATACACATTATTATCTTTTCCCTTAGCTTATATATCTTAAATAAATGATAAGTCTATTGATTGAAACCAGAAGGCCGATCTTCAAAGACATTCGAAGTTAATCAGATTTAATATATCAAACGAATTTACGCATCATGATTAAATTTTTATTTTATTTAAAAGCTTTTATTTGAACTTTATAGTGTAAATTTGCAATCTCAAATATCGTAATATTTATAATGTCATGCTAAAAATATTTACAATAAAGAGTTAACTCTCTTAAGAGATTTTTATATATATGTGTGTGTATGTATATATATATATATATATATATATATATATATATCTAGGTATACATGTGTATGTAATATACATGTATATACATATACATATATATGTGTATATACCTCTTTATCTGTTAGAATTATCAGATATTTGAATTGTTGAAATAATTTTGAAATGTTAGCACAAATAAAAATAAATAATATAAAATATAAAACATTAACATGTATTATATGTGAAACTTTAATCACAATTTTACCAATTTCGAAAAAATAAAAATTTATACAATTGTAAAATAAAATGGTTTTGTGAAATGAAATTGTTTTAATTATGTAATACAAAAATGAGAGTACGAAATATGTAATATTTATAATTTTTCTCTTAACATATAATAATTCTAAATTTGAATTAAACTTTTTCAATGTTAATAGAATTGATCTAATTACGTGACCATGTCAAGATTTATCATCATGCGTTTTCAGATTTTTTGAATAATTAATAATTAATAATAATTAACTTTTTTATTTTATATGAAACCTTAAAAATTGAATTTGATTATTCGTTTATTTGTTCTATTTTTCAATGTTCAGTCTCATTGCTTTAAGAACTGCATTTTAAAATGTAAGAATCCGTTGTCCCGATAAAGTTTTCCTTTTCATACTAGACGCGTTTCACATCAGGCAATACACACCGGCAGGAGCGGGTTCAATAAAATCGTAAACATGGCAGTTACATGGACAACGTCATAAAGTTGGTCAACGCGTGTAACGAAGACGGTTAAAGGATACGCGTGCGAGTACATGTCTTTTCGAGACTAATTGTGCATGTACGGACATTCGAAAATGAGAAATTAAGACGAGAACGTGTGAAAAAGTTTTGTTATTGAAATGTATTAGGAAGTGAGAATATATATACAGTGCTAATATATATACTATAATATATCTTTTCATAAGCCGAAGTCTAGTCATTATATTTATTATTAATGTGGTTAAATTATAGTACTTTTAAAATAACATGAAATATCTATAAATACGGTTATAATTAATTTATTCAGTATGAAGTTAATTACAGTAATAGAAACATTTAAATGAATTTAAATGTTTCTATTATTGCATCTTAAACAATCTGAGGAGGTAACTTTTTGAACGAATATTTGGAAACAAAATTATTTTACGATACTGATTCAATCTCTAAATTTTTTTAGAGTAAAATCTTATTCCAAAAGAGATAAAATACTGCTATTATTAAAAAAGAGTGGAATTAAGACAAGACTGGAATTTGCATTCTTGAATAAGAGTGACAGATTTTCACTCTTTTTTGGAGTATGATTCACTCCAAAGGAAAGAAGTCTCATTCTTTTTTTTAAAGTGAATCTTAGTCCAAAGAAGAGTAACAATCTACCACTTATTCAAGAGTGCAAATTTTACACTTTTTTTAAATAATAGTCTAGCTTATTAAAGAAGAGAATAAATATTTTGTAAACATTATTCTCTTCTTTACGTTGCTTTATATCGAATTATTTTATTTCTACGCGCACTCGCTGGTACAATTTCGTATGATACAAGCGAAAGAATTTTCTTTGTCGAGAATTTTGAGTGTATGTGTGTGCCCGTGAGTGTATGTGGACATAGTTTTCTTTTCTCAAAGAAGCCAGAGAAAGTGAGAAGATGATCTATGATGCAGAGATTACTAGATCTACAGACGTTATCGTTATCCAACTGTATCCGTTATCAGCTATCACTAATTGGCAAGCACATTCATTCATATGTATGTATATGATATGTCTCTATACTCACGTAATTTTTCCACGTTCTTTCTCCGCGTTGACGCGTATCTGCAACACAAAATGAGAATTATTAACAAGATATAAATAGGATATGAATTTATGCGATAATCATACGCGTTTGTGTGTTTTAAAGATTGAATTTTGAGATTCTGCAAATATACGAGTAATACACGCGCACACACACACACACACACACGCACACAAAGCAACGCTAATTAAAATATATTTCTTTAATTATCTGCAATTGCTTTATTATAATTCAACTGCGATAATATACTGCGCCATTAGTATTAATTTATATTCACATTACATTTGTATTATGAAGATATACTTTTTGATTCAGTAGATACTATATACTTATGAGATAGCAGAGATTATATTATAACGGGATAATAAAACGTAAAACAAAAAGAAAGAAGATAGTAATGGTTCCTTCACGTATTATCAGCGTATATGTATTTCCTGCTGGATGAGAATTCATATTTATAATTACTGTATCGGGATAAATAATCGATATTTGATAAAAAAAAATATCAATGTTAAATTTGATTAAAATCTAAAATTATTAAAATTAATAATTTTCATAATATTTTAGAAAAGTACGTGAAAAAAAATAATTACAAAATTGCGTTTTAAATATTCACGAAATAAAAGAAAATTATATCGTTATATAAAATTGAAATTGAAAAATATATTAATCGAGCGATCATAGTGTTTCTACATACGATACGTTCGTTGTCTCATTCGTGATTCGTGTCGAAGATATCGGTATAGATTATATACTAAGCTTTTGCATTGGAGGGATTTCACTAATCCTTTCCCTATGTAATCCCATTATCAGACATTTTCCTTATACTACGAATATTGCGCGTACGTTAGCAGGTTCATGCGCTCTTTGAGATTACGAAAATAATTATATGGAGTGTTACGACGAATGTTGCTATTGAGATTTTCTCCGTTTTTTTGAGTCAATGTATTTAAACAATTTACTCAGGGATCGGAGATTAAATTGTGCGGTTAAGAATGCGGTTTACTGGGAAGTATCGGATAATTTATAGGAAGAGTAATCGTGAACCCGGTGCCAAAAAGATCGCGAAGTTTATAGGCGAATCTACATGGATCGCCCTTTAGAATGTTTTGTAATTAGGAAAGTGAGGTGACCTCCAATTTCCTTAGTGTAGACAGGTTCGCGGGATGAGTTTACCGGTTTGTCTTGATCTAGATATTATAAGGCAAGCACATAAGAAATAATAATGATGATAGAAAAAGAGTAAATTGCCGACATTCATTGTATATGTATGATGAGTTTAGAACAAATAAATTTATAATAAATACCTTATGTGTGTGTCGAAATGATGTATTATCGATTAGGCAATGCAATTGGAATCGAAATTGATCATCTCTCTAGGAAGCTAAGATATAAAGTACGACATACATAAAGACAAGAAGGTTGAAATGGAAAACTAGAAATGGAAGGGGGAAAAAATAAGAAGGAAAAAATAAAGTGGAAGGGAAAGAAAGTAGGGAGAAAAGAGATAGGGAAGGGAAAGCAGTCAAGAAGGAGAAAGAGATTGAATGATCTGTGAATAAGTATCAGGTAAAGATTCGGTATCATTTTGCCTATTAAGGCCTTGTTTCTGTCTTTTTATGAATCATTTCAGACACCAATCTCTTATTGTAAGAAGATTCGCAGTTCAAAATTCTCACATGATTCCATTTGAAATTATGATCAAAATTGATTCGATGATCAGTTATGACAGTAGGAGAACCTGTATTCTTTTTGATGTCAGATATATGTTCGTGTAGTCTCGTGCTCAATTTTCTCTAAATTTGAAATAATCCAAAATGGATTATCAAGTAATCAGGAAACTTAAAAAAACTACAGTTTTTTGAGATATTTTAAAAAAGAAAACATATGTAACATTTTCTTTCTCTTCTTAACATCAATCTTTATAAAACATCCTCATTAATAATTATTCTATTTCACAAAATTCTTGGTTATACTTAAGATATTTCCGCTGTGAAAGAATCTTGGTCATCGACAAATTAATGGGTGTTTTTCATTTGATAACACAAATCAACACAAACATCATTCTTTCTTAGCATTTAATGAGTAACAAGAAAAGAATGCCATCAAATGAAAACAGTCATGAACATCAGTTATGAACCTATGCTTCGGGAGATTATCCTGACTCTTCTCAAAAATAATTATTATCTTGCAGAGATTACGTCGAAAACAATTTTTTAAAAGCAACTAATACGATTGGATTTTTATGGAAAAGAAAAATAAAATATATCTTTGCTTTCTCAGCCGTAGCAGTAACGAATATGTTCGATACTCGGACACGCGTAAAATATATGAATGCGTGCAGAGCAGACTGAGCCGCGTGTTCTGCAGTCAGTGTGTATGTTGGTGTAGCGATACGGTGACACGTATCAAACGCATTGATTTCACATAGCCAACATCTCACTCGCGCTAACATGCATACTCGGATACACATACCTGCCTGGCTGCGCCTGTGTAATGGAGCCTTGCGGGACCCAAAGACCCTTCCGGGACCCTTTCTATGTGCGGCACCGGGATCGACTTGAATTAAAGGGGAACGACCCGGGAGTGGTGCCAACTTAATGAGGGACCACCTAGCTTTAACTGTTTGTTTTTCGAGAGACCGGGCCCCGCGAAGAGAGAAAATGCCCGCTTCGAACCAGCCGGAGGAGACCTATACATACACACACATACACACAGATATATATATATATATATATATATATATATGTATATGTATATACATATATATAGACGCGTTCACGGTCAGGCGGTCCCATTTATGGCTTGTATCGCCAACCCTATTGCCATAACTTCCGCGATTTGGGCGTGAAATTACACGCGCAAGAATCGGTATGAGAGGATCGTCGATAGTTCGATAAAGGTGTTCGATCCCTCGTTCTCTTCTGATCGCTGTCCTTTTTGTCCAGGTTTCCATTCTGCGCTCGATCAGGCTCTACCCAAGCAATTTGTTACTTTATCTGGTGTGTGTAATTTACAACAGTGTGATACACGCTGTTTCTCGCGCCAAAGATAACCATTTCGACTGATTCATTTCTGATGATATCTTCTCAAGCTTTAATTTTTTTTATTTATTCGAAAAAAATAATTATCAGTATATATTAAGTTAATGTAATAATTTTCAGAATAGAGAAAAATGACGGATGTTTATTCTAAAATCATAAAATTATTGTATCATAACTGTTTTCATAACAGTTTCCTTTCAAATGAAATATATTTTTCAAATATACAGCTAACTTACTCAGTGTATGGTTAGTAATTTTGTATTTATTTTACATGAATGCGACATTTTCTAGTAAAAAAATTATCTGCTTCAAACTCGATAGATATACTTTGAAGGCAAACTGCTATATTTAGTGTTATGTATTATATGGTTCATTGACTCTTTAAAGGTTTTTTTCTATCTGTGATTATGATATGTCACTGAAATAAAAAACGTATAAAGGTTACTGATGCAAAATGAGAAGAACAGCTCGATTGACATTTCGATATGTAAAAATTTAAACGGTGACAGAATAAAGAACTTCCTCGGATAAAAGTGCCGCGGAGATACTGGCGACTGTGTAGGCTATCGGTCATTATTTATCGCAGGATGAGCTGTCGCCCTAAGGCGAAATTAAAATCCGAGAGTCACCGATAAGGCGAAGACGGAACGTGAAACGAAACGAAGAAGCAAAGAAAGCGAGAGAGAAAGACACAAGGGTCGTTCATACGATAGTGTTCTATGAAAAATACGCGTACGTGGCACTCGACCACGATTTAATTTATCATCGGACAGTGTAGGAAAAGACGTAACGATACGTCTCTTATGAACATTGTATTCGCATCATTGCGTTATTCATATTCACCGCAAGCATTCGGCGACATTTTTACACGGAAATTTTCGCTGGAAGCGCACAAAAGAAAATTTGAAAATGATTAATAAGTATCCAAGGTGAAAATAGAGCAATCTCTGCTCATTCATTATTGCAAGAGCACTTCCTTTCTTTTCCTTTCTTTTTTACTTATTACATTAATAATATGTACAAATCTTTGTTATTACATCTTTTTTATAACACGTTTTTTATATTAATTTCTCGCACGATAAAACCTGAATTTGTTCTCTATATCTAATCTCGGAGATTTTCCTGTTGAAGGAGAATACTTTTTCTTTCACAAGCAGAATATCCTGCTTATTGTATCAATCCATACATACACATCTATTTTTATTCCGCGCAGACGCATCCATCTACTTCTACAATTTCTCACAAGATTAAACTCAAATTTTCTCTTGATAGTTACGCACGATCGAACGAAGCGCAGCGGGACTTTCGCAGGAGTGCCTCCTTCAAACGAATATATTTCTATTAACGTATCCCGCGTGTCGTTCGAGTCTTCCGCGAGCCGAAACATGAAATGTCACTTACTCGAACACATCGCTCGGCACACACACGAACATACGCACACACACGTCTCGACACGATCGAAAATGGTCTAGACCGTGACAGAGTGGAAACTTTATTACTATACGAAGATGTTATTACAAAAAATACATTGTTATATATTGCTTTTAATTATATTTCACGAATTCGGAAGCAAAACAAAAAGCTTCCTTTAACATTTTAACATTGTAACTAGATATTGATAATTCAACTTATCTTAAGCACCACATTTATGGAATTGCAAAGTAAACCGAGCTTATTCTTCAAGTATTTAAATCCACATTATAGTTGATATATGGTTAATGCTAATCTCTCTCATACACATACACACAGCCCATCTACGAACGAAAAAGATAGCATTATAAATTATCCGACGCGTCCGACCGGTACGATTTAAATTCGCCCGGAGAGAAAGAGTTGCCCCGACAAAAGGAGACGGATGACGGAAACGTTAACAAGGGTGCTTCTCTCCGATGTCACCGATTCGTCTCCTTGACGTTGCATTTTGCGAAAAGGGATTGCGGAGCGCCGACGACCCTCCTTTGTGCTCTCGCCGTATC